TTTTGCTTTTTTCAGAACATTTACGAAGTTTTTTATAAACTTTTTATACAGTCTTATCTCTGTTTGGGGCACAGTTCTCTCTAAAAAAATGTGCTCTTGTGAATATGTTTATATACTTTGTTTTTTCAGGTGTAGGTACCTAACTATTTCGAGAACTACCTAATTGTGTTTTTCTTTAATTTCAAATCATCATCGTCTTCCTGCCCTTATCCCAATTACTTGGGGTTGGCGCAACACGTTTCATTGAACACAAAATCGTGTTGCAAAAGAATTTGGCTGCATTTTACGACCGGCCGCCTACCAGACATCAACCCTCCTTGGAAATGCTTTTGTGGTGGATTAACCGCCACCATACCTGGCTGTTTGGGTAGGGTTCACCCTCGGTCGTTTCTTTCGACCCCCACGGGAAGAGAGGGGGTGGTGCTATTCTACTCTGCCGGCACCACTTTTGCTTTCATTTCAAATACAATATCAAATTACCGTTAATGACCGTTTGTTTTGAATTTGGTCATTCGCATCTGTTGGTGCTAGATTTTGATTGGGTAGTATTGAAGAACCTACAAGGTTCCTAATGCTTTCCATTGGCCCTTATGGACCTAAAGTGTGCCTAAAGGCTGTGGTTTGAAGCGTGTCTCTTTAAGATTAGTTAGAAGATGTCTTCATCACGTATTTCGTCATTTTATTTTATTGCAGATAATTTTGTGAATTCTATCAAAGATTCATATACTATTCATATACAGATCTAACATAGAATAATAGGTAAAATATGATAATTTGTAAAAGCAACCAATTTCACAATCTAGAAACACGAACTAACAAACAAAAGTAGGTAATCTTGAAAACCACTGAATCTTTATTTTCTGTCTTTTTATCCTTAAAAATAGCAAAGAGCTGCATCCAAATGTCTAGTCGTTTTCAGAGTACAGGCCGGTATCAGTATGTAAGTTTATTTTGTCTTTACGTTTTTTTTTAAAATAAGTACCTAAATTAGTTTTTGCAACTGCTTTAGATTTAAAATTTTCCTCCTTTTGGGATTGTAATGCACTCACACTGAAATAGAAAAAAATACATACATCGACCGGCGTTTACCCATGCGGCCCGGGTTCCATTCCCGGTCGATGTATGACATTTTTTCTATTTCTTATTTTCACTTAAAATTTTCCATTCATATCTAACTAGGTGATAGAGTAGACCTCATATCTCATGGTACATAATTTATAGCTCTACTATAGGACGTACCATCTATCATTTGATAATATAATTGAATCTATGACCTTCCCGCATTATAAGGTTTAGTGGTCCCGGGCCGGATTTGACCTATGCAAATCATATTGGACCTTATGGGAAGACTGTTATATTAATACAGGACTCATATACAGAGTCTGCTTATTGTCCAGTGGGACAAAAAGTCGGCGAAAGACTTGAATGATCTAAGTGTCATAGATTTTAAACCACTTCTAGTAGAAATGTGGTTGTGAGTGTGATGAAAAGCATTTGATTAGGCAGCAGGAGCGACGGTGTAATGTTTAACTCCACGTAGTCCACAGCTGGACATAAGCCTCTCCTCTCCCTTCTTTGTGTTTACCGTACTTGGCAGGCGGATTGGTGAGCGCAGTGCAATTAGCTGTTTCACACAGAACACTGATGTTTATTCCTTGGATGTAATTTTCTTGAATCAAAAAACAGAATGTAGTGATGCTATTCTAAACTTGGTTTATTCTTCTACTTCTTCTTCGAGCAGTACACCAAGTCGTCCAACGACCCGATGAACCCTGGCGTCAGAGTTCATCGGGTCGTTGGACGTCGGACAAAAAAATTGGACCTCCCTTAGTATCTCAAATCAGCTGATCGGCAATTTTGTATGGGAGGTCCAATTTTTTTTCGTATTTCGACCTATGTTTCTTGGGGAATGTTGTTCCTTATCACCAGCCGGTTCTGAGTTTTCGCTATCGGTCACTAGTAAAATTTCACCCTATATAAAGTGGTGTAACACCCTGTATTAATAAGGCCTGATATATGTATGGAAATCTGGCAATAATATTGTAACGGGGTCCCACGTTATGGTCATTTTGCATTACAGTACAGCTTTATTTTGCAGCCTCTCTGGCATAGTTGGTAGTGTCTAAGTTCTTCGGCGAAAGGATCAGGTTCGATACCTACCTACATAAATACATCACGCTTTTATCCCTTGCGGGGTAGGCAGAGCGTAAAAGGCGGTAAAAATTACAAAAGTTTGAATCTTTCAGAAGACTGTGTACCATAGAGACAGGTTGTCAGCCCGTCGCCTAAAATTGCAATACATACCTCTCAGTCGCTTCTTAAGACACCCACAAGAAAGAAATGGGGTGATGCTATTCTAAGCCGGCACCACACGGCGTTTCCTACTTGGTATTTAATTCTATGATTCTACTGTAGTAACATTATTTTTAATAGCAACACTATTGTCATATTTTTGGGTAACTCCTAAAACTGAACAACTTTCCCTAGGGGTAAAATGCCGAACTAAAAAAAATCTATTTAAAAATTGCACAGATCTACTTTTAATTAATTTTGTTACCAAAAGCTCCAGAAATTCTCGTATAGGTAGGTAGGTAAATACGGAATTGAATTTTTCAAGCATTTTTCGTGGTAATTCAATTTCAATGTTAATTTTAGGCACAAGTGTCAGAGCTGCGCTAAAGAATAAAAAATCTTTTATTTTGATAAATGTTGAAAGCAAAGTTGAAAGGCACTCATAGCTGGCCAGTATTTACAAAAGCTAGATTCCATTCAACAAAAGAAACCAACACTCTAAATTCAAACTATTCAGCTATCCATCTCATTTCAAAAATCGTCTGGAATGCCCGCCTTTATTTTACTTTTTAATCCGACTTTTTTCACACAGGCGGTAAAATCATTCAGCCAGCCATTGAAAAATATTTTTTTTATAGTGTGAGGCTTTTGTAGTCTTTGTATGGACACTTTATTTTTGTCTGTCGGGTGTTGAGGGTATTATTATTTGGTTGGCGATGTATCGCGAGAACCCGTTCCGAGACGATGGTGGATCGTGACCTTTTAGTGATGCGCTCTGCGAATGCCTTCTGTATCGATATCGCTATGTAGCGTTTCACTGGAATACCATCAAATTCCGGCAGATAACGACGGTTTGAGCATTCATTAGAAATATTGAAAAACTTAAGCAAAATGACCAATAGATACTGTCAATGAAAAAAAGAACTGTATTTGGTATTAACAATATTTTTCTTTTAACAGACTGTAATAACTGATTGACTCATTGCTCAACCGACTGATAAACTGACAAATAAACCGATTGATAAACAACCGGCAGATCTACCGACTGCTCGGTTGACTACTTAATCAGTAACCCCATCCAGCAAATATCAGGGACAATCCGTACCTAAGCATAAAATTTAAGACATTAAGTATAGTATATATTAACGCGAGTGTCATTGGAAAGCACCTACCATACAAAGTTTCCGATCACCGGATTTGAGTTACTATGGGAGGAACAAATTTATTTTTAATATTTCAACCTATGTTAAGGAATATGTTTATGTTTTGTATGGTAGTGTGATGCCGGCTTAGAATAGCATCACCCCATTTCTTTCCTGTGGGTGTCGTAAGAAGCGACTAAAGGACTCGAGGGTATCATGTGTATTGCAATTTTAGGCGACAGGCTGACAACCTGTCACTATAGCGATACACGACAATAGCTAAAACGGCCCTCAAATATGTGTCAGACGTGGCGATAACGACCGTACTTTTACGGTAATTGACGCTCTGCCTACCCCGCAAGGGATAAAGGCGTGATGTATGTATGTATGTATGTATGTATGTATGTATGTTAAGGAACCTATGTTAAGGAACCTATGTTCCTTGGGGTGTTCCTTATCACCAGCTGGTTCTGTGTTTTTGCTATCGGTCACTAGTAAAATTTCACCCTTTATAGTAGGTACGCGCGTGAGTTCATGGCCATCCTGAAATATATACTTCCTCGCTTACGCCAGTTTCACGGAGAGTACAACGAAGAGAGAGAGAGCACTCTTTTTCTTCTCTCTCCATGTGGGACACCGAGTCATCCAACGAGCCGATGAACCCTAGTGTCAGAGCTTTGCAACCCCCTACTGCAAGTATGAAAAGAGGCCCATATTTCGGGGTGGTCATGATCTAGCGAAGTCTACATCATCAATTTTGAGGTAACGAAAGAACAGCTTCTACCTCTAAATCTTTGACATAGAGCAAAATGTCTGAAAATATATCGACAAAAATAAAATTAGCCAACTCTTTCCCATCACTAAATCGTGCGTCACTTCCCTGCCTCATCTTTACCATCTTTACACCTTCCAATATGCGCCTGCGCTTATTTCTCTCTCTTTTACACCTGTTTTCTTTCTTTATATTACGTCTCCCTCGCACTATAACGTTATTGAGTCCTTTAATATCTGAACACTATCTTTTATCAAGCTTTTATCTTTATGATATTTTTAAATTATGTGCTTTTTACTTTTTAATAATTTTATTTTTAACGCCGGCGAAGGACATTCCTGAGGCGGTATATTGCCAATATCCATAAAGGTCGGGAGTTTTGAGATATTTGCTTTTGATTTTATCTGGCTTTAATTAATTTTTATTTTGTGAGATAAAACTTCTTGTGTTTTTATTGAACTTCAGATTAGACTTGCAAACATTTGGATGGTTATTTTTGGTTGCAGTATCGTGTTACCATTTAGTATACTTACTTGCCGAAATCTTCTTCTTTTTTAGTGGGACACCGTATCGTCCAACGAACCGATAAACCCTAGCGTCCTAATTTTTCAACCGCCTACTACAAGTAGCAGGCCTCTGACATAGTTGGGTAACGACCGCCGTCTAAGTGATCATAGACAGCAACCGGGACTGGCTTTACGTGTCCACCGAAGCACGGATCCATCTTGCTTTCGGACAATCAGGTGGTTCAGCCTGCAATGTCCTAAAGACTGGGAATAAACCCAAGTGTGAAGTGATCCACCGGGAATGGAACCCGGACCCTTCTGTGTCGCAGACATTCGCACTACCACTGAGCCACATCGACATAGTTGCCGAAATAACACCCACTTCTCTAGGGAATAGCTGAAGTTGGCTAAACACGGAAGTAAGCAAAACCTGCTAGACAGTTTCATTGATAGTTGGCGAATCGTGCTGATTGGAAAAACAAAAACCAAAGTAGGCAAACCGCTCCTACTTCTCTACCGGGAGTAACAGAAAGGGTATAACAAGCCGAAAGGAGGTCAATGTACTCATGAATGAAACTGAACAACTTTCCCCATGAAACATTAGTCGAAATATGAAAAATGAATCTGGACCTCCTATACAAAATCTCCGACCACCTGATTGATTTACAATAGGAGGTCCAAATTTTTTTCATATTTCGACCCATGTTCCATTGAGAAAGTTGTTCAGTTTCATTAGTACCTTAACCTCCTTTCGGCTTGTTATACCCTTACTGTTACTCCCGGTATAAACAATATTATATTTTCTAATAGACTCTATTAGACATGTTCATTGCTATCATTTCTTAAAACACATGTCATCGTGTGTAGCCATATTAACTCATTATTATAAAACTGTCATTAGATATTAAAAACGTAATTTTCATATTAATGCCTGTTATTATGATTAGGCATAATAATTTTGAATCACAACATGGGGTCCCGAATTTTTATGTTTTGTTTGTGTTTGAAATTAATAATATGTGGTTTCGTCAATATTGTAAAACGGTAATGACATTATTTTTCTGTTAACGTGATGAAATTAAACGGTAAAACTATTGTTTTGTTTTCATATAAGTTTCTTATTTTGTTTGTCATTCATGTTTTTCTATCTACAGAAGTTTTTTCTGTCAGTACCACCTTAAATTATCTTTTTAAGGCTTATTCGTCAAATTAAACATAATAACCAGAATAACAAAATTGAACCATCCTCTAGTACAATAAACTTTTGTAGAAGTTTCTTGATAAATAAGTATGGAAGGCGCTCACAAACTTTAAATAGGTACATTATTTTTACACTGCGTAATGCATGCGTTGGAGAAATACGTATTTCGACCTTATTCTCATACAAATATGGTTTATGTCAAATTGTTTAACGTAAAAAATCACGACAAATCAGGACAACGAATAACGCTGTGCAAAATTAACGCACCAACGAACGTTAGGTAAGTATGTGTGTGTGTAAAGCGCCCGTAGTTAAGTCAGCAATTTAATCAGATTTTAGCAAAATTAAACATTTTCAGAATATTATGATTTTAATAAGTCTACCCTATCAATTATGATAAATGTGAATTGCATAATAATTTATCATTGATAAGAATACCGACTTCACTCGGCACATAAAATACTCTCAAAAAGAGGTTAAAAATTACAGTTCTTGACGTAACGTATTAAGAACTCGAACTTTTCACGACTCAAGACAGCCGTGAAGCGTATAATTCACACAACTTTAGCGGCAATTATAGTGTTAAAATTGCAATTTAAAATATGATTTGTGACGTGCGCGAGCGAGCATGATTTTCGTTCGACTGACTCGAAAAAAGGAGGTTGTACATGCATAGTAATTAAAAAACAAAAAACATTCAGCTATTGATATTTTCTTTATCTGCCATTATGAGTTTATGAAATTTAAATAAGTATTCAGTGAATTTTTTTTTCGTTTAAAATCCGCCATTTTAAATTTATAAAAAATTAAACATGTCTGGGAGATGCTGAGAAGCGAATGAGATGAATCTACCGACTACTCATTCGTAAAAATCCGACCAGCAGTTTGGACTGTAGCCCGGCACAAGTTATTTTTGTACACATACATACATAGTCTTGAAAAATATAACCCTCTTTCTAAGGCTGTCGGGTAATTATTACGACTGGTGTAAAAAAGTAACATTCTGAGATTTCTGAAATATTAAATGATTTGATGTCGGTAATTTTGTTTTTGTATTAAAGCTTTTCGGTTTGAATTTGGAGCTGGAGAGTGCTTGAGTGGCTTGAAATGTAGTTTGAAAGTTCATGTCATAGTGTCAACAGCGTCAAAATAATTTTGTTGTGAAAGAAAAGAAGTTTTCAATTTAGGGTTCTGGTTGTTTCTAGCGTGTAAACTAACTTTCACTGCGCTCGCCAATCCGTCGGCCAAGAGCGAGGAGAGTAGAATGAAGGTACCTATGTAATAGAATTTTATTGCTCTTCTTCTTCTTCCTCTTCTTCGTGTGGGACACCAAGTCGTCCAACTATCCGTGTCAGAGTTTTTCAACCGCCTACTACAAGTCAGGCCTCTGACATGGTTGAGCGACCGCCGTCTAAGTGATCATATACAGCAACCGAGACCGACGGCTTAACGTGCCCTCTGAAACACGGAACCATCAGGTGGTTCAGCCTGCAATGTTCTGACCAGACTGGAAAAAAAATCACAAAGTGACATTAATAAATAGCAGTTTGTGACCCCACCGGGAATTGAACCTTCTCAAATTCAACACCTATTGAACTATACTTAGGTATATACAGGGTGTGTATTATTCCTAATAATAAATTCAACTCCCGTCATCGGATTTGGTTATAGATTATCTACGGGGTGTTGATTTTTCGATGAACTTCTGAGTGGTCCTCTTATCTGTTACCAGTATCGGGTACGGACTGAATAATAAGTGTTTTGTAAGGAAACAATTAATCTACCTATAAAAAATGGCGCCACAAACGAGAGGATAAATACAACAATTTATTAATTCAAAATTCAATTTAAAAGGCCACAGGTTTTATTTTGCTTACCTATATTTTTTCTCAGCTTTTAGCTGTATTAGATATGCGTAATGGTTTATTTTCTTCTTAAAACGAGTTGATTATGATTGATAATTTACCAAACATACTTAGGGTTTCGTCAATTCATCGCCATCCGCCAATATTAGATATAAAAAAAAATATTATCACGGTAATAATCCTGTTTTAAACAATAATTTTAGTGTTGTGAACAACCGTGAAAACCTAAAAACTTATAATATTAGATATGTCAGTTTTTACTCAATTAGAGCTTATTTTTCTCGTATACCTGCGAAAACGCATAACCACGACTCTTAGGTACATAGAGCCCATAAAAATAATAAATCAAATACAGTATAAAACAAAAAAAATCAAGACGGTTAGAGTCAAACCGCACCATCAGCCTAGTTTATTATTATGCAGTCTTGACGTTCTGGCGACGACTGGTTAACAAAACTACATGGTGTTCCATTTTTTTCTTATTATTAAGCAGGCTGTAAACTTGCGTTTGATTGAACCCTCTCTTAGAGCTGTTTTTACTGTTGGTAAGCATTAAGTAGTATTTATCAGTTTGTATTCCCACTTTTGCCCTATCATTTTATTTTTAAGTAAGGAATAATTTATAAATATTTAATTTTAAGGTTATGGGGCCTAGAAATTAAGCAACATACATATCAAATTATTATTCACAGTCACAACAGTTCACAGCTGGAGACTTGGGTGTTTGCTGTACATCTAACATTTTACAAGGGAGTTTTGTATTACACAGGAAATGATGTTGCCTATTCCCTAGCTAGGTTTTTATTACTACTTATAATAAGTTTTTTAGTTTAGATAACGTCACCTATTTGACAAAAGTGTCTAATAATTTAATTTCCTGACTTTAACCAAACACCCTGTATACGCGGTTGAGTATCCTCTATTAGCACGTAATAAAATTAGGCGCCGCCTGTACGTGGACCTGCTACTAAACAAATATGTGAATAGGACACCCTGTATAAACACCGACAAACATCACTAACATTCAATTCAATTCAATTTTCAATTCAATATATTTATTGCATAACTATAGGTACAGCATACAGGTGTTTACAATAATTTAAAATCCAACTTTAGTCTACCATAGAGGTGTACAATTTAAAAGGTAAAATAATAAACTAATTTTGAAACATGCATGTCGATTTCAATTTTAAAATGTGAATTGATCAAATTAAATTCAATATAAAGTCATACAATATAAAAATAAATTATAATATTATGTTAAAAATGTAATTTGTAAAATAATTGATTAACTTTAAACATGCATGTCGATTTAAATTTTAAAATGTCAATGATCAAATTAATTCAATATAATGTCATACAATATGAAATTAAAATATTATGTTAAAAATTTAATTTGTTCTGTTTTCACTTATTTTTGTCATTCAAATACTCATCGATACTATAATACAATTTAGACTTTAATAATTCTATTACTTTTATTTTAAATTTATGTAAAGGCAGTTCTTTAAATTCATCAGGAAAATGATTATAAATTTTCACGCTCATGTAGAAAAGGCTTCTATGAAAAAATGCTGATGAATAATTTGCCTTGTGTACAAGTTTATGGTTGCTTCTTAAATTACGCCCGCGCGCTTGACCTGTCTCAAAAAGATTCATATGTTTCTTTACAAATAAAATTACTTCCTTTAAATACAGACAGGGAAGAGGCAGTATTCCATATCTTTGAAACAACGGTTTGCATGAACTTCGCTGAGACAAACCACATAGAGCTCGAACACAACGCTTCTGAATTTTAAAAGCATCAATAGCATTGACAGAGTTGCCCCAAAATATTAAACCATAACTTAAAACGGATTGCACGTATCCGAAATATGCCATCAGCCCAGCTTCTTCGCTTGAAAAATTTATGATGCGCCGCAGTGGGTAAACGAATCGAGAAAGCCTGCTACATAAACCATCGATATGCGCCTTCCAGTCACAATTACTATCAATAGTAAGACCCAGAAACTTAGTTTCCTCAACCTCCTTAATGCTCTGCGTATTAAAAGCAATACTTAGTTTTTTTAGGTATTCTTGCATATGAATGGAACTGCATTATATTTGTTTTGGTTAAATTAATACAAAGTTCATTCACCTCCATCCATTCCACTATCCTCTCAAGTGCAATGTTAACATTTGTCTCATAAGTCTGTCGGTCCGTAAATTTTACTACTACTGTGCTGTCATCAGCATAAAGGACAGTTTGGTGAGTGGTGCATTTCGGTAAATCATTTATGTAAAATAAGAA